ATTATTTGGGCATAAGCTTTCGTGAGTAAAAACCTGAAGTGAGGTTTTTACTCACGAAAGCTTATGCCCAAATAAATCTGTTAGTCTTTAAGGTGCCACCAGACTCCTTGTTGTTTTTCTACATGGGGAAGTTAGTGTGCAATAAGCTCCAGTGTGAATTTAAAGCACACTGGCTACTCTGTGCCGACTCCCTCTGTGGACATTTTTTCTGTGCACTACGAGTGCCTTTGTGTGCAATAGCTTAAGGCACCTTGGGCATGTCTTAAGAGGGCCCTTGGGCAGTTTAGCTTAGTCCTCAGAAAGTGTGTCCACGTGGGCAGTTAATCCAGAGTAGCTAGTGGTGTCCTCTTCCCTGTATAGACGAGCCCCAAAAGTTCCTTATTATTCCCTACCTATTCCCTATAGTAAAGGGAATTCTTCAAATGCTGAGTTAATCATATCTTGAAATTCATATGTTGAAATTCAAATAAGCTCTACCTTGCCCTGTTGTACTCTTAAATACAGTACAGAAGTTTACAGCAAATTAAGAAAAATGTTCAGACATACAATATTTCCTCATGTTCATTTAGACTAATATGGACTCCCCCCACCCCCTTCAAATTAAAGTATCCCTTTTGTGGTCCAGCCACTACAGAGCAACATAATCACAAAAGCTTGAGCATGTATAAACTTCCCAGCAGAGAGTAATGGTAATAATGCACATAGAATCTGAAGACAATGACTGCTCTGTGTGTTCGTGTTCTTTTCAAGGGTGGAATTTCATGGCTGGTTGTGTCTGAATGGCGCTGTTCACCAGTATTATGCCAATGGTCTCCTAGTTCTTCTATAAATCAAACAATATCTTGATATAAAGGCCATGTAACTTTTGTTTGACACAACAAAGAAGAACTTTGGTGGGCTACTATCTTTCATTTTATAGTACTGTTCAAGGAGCATATGACAGTGTTACTAGCCAACCTAATGTTATTCTCTCCAGATATCATTTATAAAGCAGTAACATGATTTGTTTCTATATATTCACAAAATATTATCTGAACAGTATCACAGAAGGATCCAGAGGCGAATTATTTCAAAGACAGTGTATGACCTTTCCTACCTTGCACCTGACTATGCCACATCTCATGGCTATTGAAAATTAAATATAGATTTGAAGACTAATATATTCTTTCTCTCGCTCTCTCCTTCTCAAATGAAGAAATAACGTCAGTAATAGTTTTCTTCATCAGGCCACGCCCTAGGTTAATAAAGTGGTGATTTGTATTGAGATTTAGATCCCTGGAGGCACGTGCAACAATAAGCTTCTCGGTTGTTCTTGTAAGCAGAAGTTTAAAGTAATGTCACATGATGGTACATGCGACAAACAAAAGCTTGTATCCACATCTACTAATAGCTTCAGAGGATACCATTTATTTCACTGATGTGAAAATTGAATCTGTATTTGAAACGTGAAACTATTCTGCTGTAGAACTATACTGGTTTTATGCCATTGTTAATTTCTTTTATTAGAGATGAAGGGACTATAGTACATTGTTTGTTTGTTCCCCCTCTCCTCCCCCCATTTGTTGACAAATTAAAGCAGTAGCTTTGTTTTTATTTCAGTAATGGATGTAACTGACATAATTAATGGGAAAGTTGATGATGAGGACAAACAACACTTTATACCATTTCAACCGTAAGTCTAAAATAACATAAAGCATTGTCAGAGGACTTAAGGAGGATTAAATGTAAAACACTTTTCAATGTCAACTTTTGAAATTGATCTTACAGTCCACTAATGTAATGTAGATATTTTGAAGTTTGTAAACTTGCTGCAGATTGGAATTTTAACACATGAGGTCTTAAAAGCATTTCCTCCCCTTCTTAGTTCTTCACTTATTTATTTGGAATGAATAGTGGTGCCAAAAAAAAAAAAATTCACCTATTTCTAAGTGCTTTTTCAGCTTCAACTTTAAACATGTCTTTTCCATTTTTGTGTGTGAAGGAGCCTGGAACTAATTAGATGGGCCCAGGGTTTTTGAGATAGATGTTTTAAGCTTCTTTCCTTTATATGTTACTAGTTTCAGTCTAGTCAAGGTTGGTAATGACCAAAAGCTGTTTCCGTCTGATGGATGTTAAGTGTCCTGTATGAAATGAGTTGGTTGTATCAGGTGCTTGTCCATGTCACTAAATCACCACCATAATTGGCACTAATTGGCAGATAATTAAAGCCAGAGAAACCAAAGAATAAATGGGCATGGGAACTGAAATAACTCCTCATACGTATAACTAGTTTTCCAGCTCTTTTAAGGATTTTGGTGTGGCAGCAGGGAAGATTGCACTGCTTTTACCTGTGCTGTGGGTGGTGTTTTATGGATAAATGGGATCATGGTCTACTAGATGCTCAGTTTGGCAGCTTTCGTAAGTACTAAATTATCTAAAAACAAAACACAAGGCTTCTAAAGGAGAAAGTGAAATAAAAGGAACCACTATGCCATGTGAAACTTCATACAGTGTTATCAGATATTTTTAAGATTAAAAGAAAGCACTGAAATGTACTGTCAAAGGTCAGATGTAGATTTTACTCTGAGTTTCTTAATCTGTTTTTGTGTGTTAAATAAGTCTGAATGTTTGTATTTGTGTGTGTATGGATAGGTTTTCTTTCTTTTTAAAGAAAAAAATAGTCCTTTTTAGAAGTGTGTGCTTACTATTAACAAAGGAATTAAAATGTGTGGGGATTTTAAAGATTCCAACTTTATTTATCCCCACTACCCTTTCCTCACCTCATTCTATGATATTAAAGTACATCCCCATTAAAATATGAATGCTCAGCTTTACCATTGTTGAATGCAGTGTTGTTGTAGTTGTGTTGGTCCCAGGATATGAGAGACAAGGTGGGTGAGGTGATAACTTTTATTGGACCATCTTCAGTTGGTGAGAGAGACAAGTTTTGTCCAATAAAAGATATTACCTCTCCCATCTTGTCTCAGCTTTACTGTTGTAAGAAATGTAGACCACAATGCTGTTATATAACTGAGTTCTCTTTTGACTTAATCTACTTCTAGATTTCGTGAGGTTTTTTAAATAAATCTAGAGAGCAATAGACTAAAATAATGTGACATCAAATAATTTCAGTTTGGAAACTAGGCCTTATTAAAAAGTACAAGAGTTAGCAAAGATGTTTGGGGAGCTTAACAGAAAATTTGAGATTGCAGAATCAGTAGAAAGAAATCAGGTGACTAGCACTATATGCCTAATGGCTCTAGTCCTAGCCACTTCATGTTTGTATTTCATGATAGCAATGGAATTTGTGTGTAATTTGTGTACATAATAGTCCGTAGAACAGTAACAATTCTATTCAAGGAAAGTAGAAGCTTTTAAAGAAGAGTGCCTTTGTGAGATTTATTTATTGAATTTAAACAATGACAAGCTTTTATTTTAGTGAGTGTGGAAGTATGCACAGAAAATGAATCTTTGTGGATCAAGAAAGTGGATTCTAATGGAATGTTTTGCTTTTTGCTCCATTAAAACCGATTTATAGTCTATTTATATACAAACCAGCTTTTGGAAAGGGTGTGCAATATGTTTTTGTTGCATTTTTTCTTCAGCAATTTAAAATATTCTTCAAAGTCTACACCAAGAATATGAGTAATGTGCAAACACATGAAGAATAGCTTTGTCGTTGTTTCCAATGTTGACTTAAACACTGTGTATAAGAGGCATATTTTCTTACTCGTTTCATGCTGTGCTTTTGTTGTGCTACATGCAATTCTGTTTTCATATGTATGTTTGTTTGTATTCATTCACTGCCCACCAACACAACAGCTGTCAGAAGTACTTGGCAAGACTGGTGTGGGTACTTGAATGACATTTGTAAATGTTGCATTTCATTTATAATTTTCACATTTTCTTTTCTTCACCTAGTATAACAAAATGATGGATTATCTGTTTGTTTTTCTTGCACTAAGCCATTTCTGTTAAACGTAAAAGTTTTTTCTTCTGTAAATTCCATCAAACCATCTACACTACCTCTTAATATATTCAATTGTAGAAGCTACTCTGAAGGTTGCACTGAATTAACATACTGTACATTTTTGCAAAATCATCCCAATTGGATTTCGGTATTTAACATGGGTCTCTCAGGAGATCAGTGTTCTTCTTCACTACTACACATGCTATTTATTGGAAGTGGGATTGGGACCTGACGCATGCATGTTCCCGTTGGGAAGGGTAACATAGGATTGCTTGACTTCTCTTTAGCAGGTCAGCATTTTCCTGATTAATGATCTTCCTATGTCTTTCTTGTTACCTTTCCTGTCTTTTGTCTTGCGTTGACTAATAAATACTCTTCGTCACAACTATGATATGATCTTTTGTGTTCCCTTGTTACTGTGACTTCTGGTTTTCTGTGACCCTTTGTTTCCTGGTGTTGGTCGTCATGTGCATCCTCCAGGCTAGCATTGGATGACGCCATTCGACACAAGCAGTTGAACATATCATCCCGTTTTTCACCCAGGGTGGCAGGGGAGAATGATTTCCTTCAGACTGTTATAAACAAAGTGATTGCTGCTAAAGAAGTTAACCACAAGGGTCAGGGTAGGTACTGTTCTTTATGTAAACTGGAATACAAAATATATCCTTGCTTCACACCATCTGACTATTTTAATTTGGACTGGAGGATTCATTTTTTTTTTGTTTGCTTGCTATTGTTTTGTACCAGAAAAGACACCTGTCCTATTTCCCCCCCTTTTTCTCCCCCCCCCCCGTTCTTCCTCTCTCTCCGTGCCCTCTTTCCCCCCTTCCCCCCCCCCCCCGCCGCATCCTTTTTGGGAGTATTGTTATTCTACAGATTGTCTTCTGTCTTTATGCAGTGCTTGGCCACTTTTACATGCGTCTATATTTCTGCCTTATCCATTCTTGTATGTTTGTGTATTGAAAGCAGTGACTTCAATAACTGGCTTTCATGCCTTTGAACTCTGGCACACCCTGGGTCCATCAAGGGGGCGGGGTGGGGAGTGTTTCTCTCCTCCCCATTTTTCTCATTTTTTCCTATTAGCAATTGCAGTCTAAGCAGTTGGTCTGCTGTCAATACGACAAGGCAATTACTCTCATCAGAATTGATACCAACTTGTGTTTTGAGTTGGTAAAGGAGGGCTGCAAAATAAACAACACTGTTAATTACTGTCTATAGGTTGAACAGATAATTCAGTGTATTCTCTGCTGACATGAATATAAATATAAAAGATATGTACTAGTTAAAAAATTTAAATGCATTCCAACCCTAGTGCTATATACTTGATTCGTTCTTTTTCTGGTCTTGGATTAACTCCTCATTGTGTAAGTAAATGCAGAATCTCAGTCTACCAATTTCCTCTTGGAACTATTTTTCTTTTATTTATAAAGTGTCTGAGCAAAGGGTTTAAAGAAAGTACACTTTGATCACTCATATGCATAACAGAATTGCAGCTTTTTTATACAATAGCACTATAAAGAGGAGAATGGGTTTTGTTTAAGAAGTTTTTTCTTCTATTTTGAACTGCCACTCCAGCCAATATTTGTAGGGAGGTATATTATTACAAGTTACTAAATTGTAACTTTAAATTTCCTTTTGGATTCTTCATCTGTAAAAATATAAAATTAGTGGATGGAGAGTACTTGCTGTGAGCGCACAAGTTGCTGATTGTGTTACTATCCTGTTACAAACATTATGCATTTTTTTTTTTATAAAATTTGCTTGATAGATGTACTGTTTTATTGTATTGCTGCTTTTTCTTTCTCTTCTGTAATTGCCTTTGTTTTTATTTAACTCATATCTCATTGCAATGACCACCGTTAAGGAGTCCGTTTACCAAGTTATCCCTCATTGGTATCTGAGATTCAACAGTTCTCATCTGTGCCATAGCACAGGAAGTAATTGCATGGTGTCTGTTGGCAAATACCAGATTTTGACATGATCTGCTCTGGGCATTAGGACAGTTACTCCTTTCTTGGGGGGCTGGGAAGGAATATTTCCTGATGGTCAGATTGGCCAAGTCGAGGTGGGTTTTTTGCCTTCTCTACAGTGGGTTGGGAGCTGAGTGGGGGGAACGAACAAAAAGGGGGGGGGAGGGGTTAGGCTATGATGTTGCAATTTATTGGTAGCTTGTGGCGGATATCCAGTGCAGGCACTCCTTAGGGAGTGGATACGGCGATCAGATCAAATGGGAAAGTATTTAAAGGAGGTATTCTTTAAAGGAGTGGACATGGGAGCTGTTCGGGTCTCCTGTAACTGTACGGCAGGGAGTCAACCCCTGTCCCCCAATAATCACCCTTAACCCTCATTTGATGGAGGGAGAGGTGTGCTGAGGTCCCAGAAGCAGGTTGCCTGGCAACCAGGCTGGGTAAAGGAGTGGACTGACAGCAGCCCCCACAGAGGTATGTAAATGGCTATGGAATTACCTGTAGTGTAAAATTTTACCAGCTGGGTACTTCCAGAATTTTAGGACTAAAGTTGTAGGCTGATTAAAGTGCATCCAGTCTCGCCTGTCCTCCTCCTGGCATAGCCAGATAATGTGCATTGGGGAAGAGTATCAGAGTTGGGGACATCTTCCTCAGGTACTTGATACTTTTTTCTCAGATCTTCCATTCTAACTAATGCTGCCCCTTGTACTTTTCCTATGAAAAGAATAAAACCCTTTACTGTCATTTGGAAGATTTATGAAAAATCCGAGGGCAGGCGTAAGGTGCAGACCAGTGCTATTGATGGCTTAATAACCATTTTCTGAATTCAAGCCTGAGAAGAACTAGCTCTCCAGTTTTGAGGACAGTTGGGATACTCTGTGGGACCTATTTTATCTTGTTCAGTGCAGAATTTATTTAAAAGGTGCTATAGCAGCTCCACAGTGCAAACTTCACTGCGCCCATTGAAGCACTGAAGATTCCAACATCTTTCTGCCAATCCATACTCATGTTGTGTGGTACTGCAAAAACTGTTCCTATGCTGGACTTAAGTTTTGTTTTACTGAAGCCCTTCCTCAAATTCTGTTTTCTTAGACTTGAAAAAGATTATCCCATCCCACCTAATCAGCCACCATGCTTACCAAAAATGTATTCTCCTGTGTGAAAAGAGGAAATTCTTTCCTATCATTGCCATCTATTAACATGTAATAGACAACAAACTGCTAATGGATTGCATTACATTCCCCAGAGAAAAAAATAAACTAGGACCCTAATTCTGTTACTGTGTATGTCTGCATGTGTAAGAGTGGGCAGAGCTGCACCTACATAGAAACCCACTGACTTTGTGTGGGCACAGGGGTCCGCCTGCCCCTGTGCACGCATTGTGGAATTGTGGCCTCTGATGCTATATTCTCCTTTAGGAATCTCCTACAAGGTATTGTGTAGGCTACATGAGCCACATCCACTATGTCTCCAACACACTCTCTCTCTCTCTCTCTCTCTCGCTCTCTCTCTCTCTCTCACGCTGGATTTCCAGTTTTTCTATCGGTTTTGTATTGTTTGCCTTAAAATCTGTTCTAATCTGATGTACCCAGTGCATTCTAGGTGTGATAGTTGTAGTTCTGTTTCAAAGTTTTTCTTAAATAATTATTTCTAGTCTAGTGTTGCAAAATGTAAATATTTTGGGGGCAAGGCTTAGTAACTTTTATGTGCATTGTCTTCTGAAGTTTATAACACACTTTTGTTTGTTTTAAAACATTGGAAAATATGTCTAATAATTATATTTTATGCTTCAGGTTTATGGGTGACTTTGAAACTTCTTCCAGGAGATATTCATCAGATTAGGAAAGAGTTTCCTCACTTGGTGGATAGGTCCACAGCTGTGGCTCGGAAAATGGGGTTTCCTGAGATTATTATGCCTGGTAGGTGTCAATAATTGCATTGGGATACTAAGAGCAAAATTGGGCACGCTGCCCAATTTACTGCTTTTTAGGGCAGTAAATTGATACATTGCCATAGATAATAGAATATAACTGTCTGAATCAAATCCATAATAATTACTAATATTTTGGTTCATAATTATTTTTTTCAGTTTATATTAAGTACTTCCTGCCTCAAAAATTTTACATTAATAATTTAGTCACAAAGTCATAGACATTGAGTAATTGTACTCAGATAGTAGAGCATCTAGTTTGTTTCAAATCACATACACCTGAGTGGTGGTGACTACTTTGTTACCAGTGAATCTGTGAAGCAATGTATACAGTTTCAAAAGGAGCAGCTTAAACTACAGGTATAAATGGACAACTACATGTTTAGTTCACGTACTTGAATGCAATAATGGGTAATTGTATTCACATGATTTGGGTGACTGTTATATGTACCAAATGTTTGCTTTATTTCTTAAGTCACCTGTTAAATGTGTCTGTATATCTGGAAGTTTTGAAATATGATTTTTAAAAAAGACCAATTTGAGAAAAAAGCATTACTTGATTACTTGCCTAACAAATGTTCCTTTAAAGTCTCTTATTATGGTTTTATACTTCATTGTTTTATGCAGAACTGCATATGAACATTGTGAGTTAAATTTTTTTTTGTCCTGCCAGGTGACGTTCGCAATGATATCTATGTAACATTAGTTCAAGGAGATTTTGACAAAGGCAGCAAAACAACAGCAAAGAATGTAGAAGTTACAGTATCTGTTTATGATGAAGATGGCAAAAGATTGGAGGTATTTCTATTGGAAAATGTAATCTCTGAAATATTTCAGTATATTTGTCCACATTTTTCCATCATCATCTTCGGTATTTGTCAAAATCTGAAGGCTTTAAAAAAAAAAAAAAGAATGCCTTGCCCAAGTTCTCACACCAAAGAATAAATACTTTAGTTTGTTATTTGTGACAAATAAATAAATATTGTGGTGGTATTGCATGCAGTTTGATTGAAATTAACTAGTGATTAACTTGGAGCATAAGACCTCTTTTATTCTAACCTACCTACTCTTTCCTCTTTCACTATTGAAATACAATGCTGTTTTATTTGTTCTCTGTTAGATAGGTATGTATGTGTGGGTAAATATTTTTATTCCTTGTCTTTCAAGAGTGTGATTTTTCCTGGGGCTGGTGATGACGCTATCTCGGAATACAAGTCAGTGATCTATTACCAAGTGAAACAACCTCGCTGGTTTGAGACTGTCAAGGTACAGATGATGATAAAATAATTTTCCTCATAATGGGTTAATTTAAAATAAAATGAGAATAGATTTTAATAAGAAATCTTTAAGAACAAAATTAAAGGGAATTAATGTGGTCAATTGTAGGAAGGCTAAAAGGATCAGCTAATCAAAAGCCTTTCAAGGTTGCTAAGGAACATTGGCATTTAATAGAATGTAAATTACTCTTCCATCCTTGTGGTCAAAATAGATTTTGACAGGGATATTCCACCATCTGTTTAAGATAACTTTCTTTTGTAAACAACAGTACAAAGAAATCATCATAAACATATATTATAGTGACTTGCTCATTAGTATATTGGGATGCTGGGTTTACTGATGCATTATGCGAATGATGCTAAATTAGCACCATAGTAACAACTTCCCAAGCTAGGTGCCAAAGGTTTAAAATTAAAAATGAGGCTGGGGTAGTCTTCTGAAAGACACATATTGGCTGTTATTGCTGGAAAGAATGTTAATTGAAAGGAGACTTAGCTAATTTTTTTCTTTCTCGATATTCTTTCCAAAAAAGACGGCTTTCTCTTTGCAGTTGCAGCCAGGAGTTTGCTGCTGTGGGAATTAATAGTGCATCTACACTGCACCCCCCTAGCCCACCCTGCAGCAGCGAGTCTCCGAGGTAAGGTCAAGTTACTTGGGCTTGTGGGGCTTGAACTACAGGGCTAAAAATCGCAGTGTAGATGTTCCTGCTTGGGCTGGGGTCAAGGCTCTGAGATGCTCCCTGCCTTGCTGGATCTCAGAGCCCAAGCTCCAGCCTGAGTGGGAACTATTTTTATCCCTGTAGAGTGAGCCCTGTGAGCCCGAGTCCGTTAACCTGGGCTATGAGACTGACTACTGCTTGAATTTTTTTTTTTCCTTCAGTATAGACGTACCCACAGAAAATGGTTGTGGTGAGGCAGAATGAATTACAGACTTGTAGATCAGCAACATGCAATCCAAATTTAAATATGCTTAAGAAAATAGGACTTCCCTAATTAAATACCGAGGGGAGAAATATATAGACTTGTGATTTTGTTTAAAGATTATTTATTGATTTAATGCATCACCCTAGGTGTGTGTGGCCTTTTACAGTGAAAAAATTGAATGGCTGGGGTAAGATAGTCATAAGATCATATGGTTGGTTAGGTTTGCATATCTTGGTGTGACTTACTTGAACTGTCTTTAAACTGAACTTTTTAATGATATAACTTTGTGTCTGTACAAATGAGGTTGTGTTGTTAATAATAATAATAATTAATAATTAAAAACAGGTTAGGGTACACTGGATATTTAGATAGTGGGGGGAAGAAGACATTGTGAGAGTGAAGGTGGGGGCGGGGTGAGGTCAAGAAAAGGGCTACCAGTACAAGTGGTACGGTGAGACCAAGGCAGTTAAACTGAATAGACAGTAGTGACAGTTGTTGACAGCAGCAGTAGCAACCACCTGGATCAGAGAGAGAGACTGGTCTAGAGAGTTATGTAGTTATAGTGTAAGTGTCAGGAGTCTTATTACTTGAGGTGAGAGGAACTGACAACATCTGAGGGGTAAAGAATACAATGTCTGTTGTTGATGATGTGCAGATGTCCATAGAACTGAAGGGCTCTACGTAAGTTCTGTGTAAAGGCTCTGCCCTGACGAATGTAGAAGGGGCTGCTTCAGATATCGGTGGGGGTGAGGGCTGCTGGGTTTTGGTGTCCCTTGTGTAGCTTGCCTGTCCCATAAGGTCATGTGATAGGGAACTTAGTAGGCATGGCTCTCTCCCAGCCTGCTAATGGCTGAGGGAGTGGAGATTTCTTCCAAGGGAGCTAGGGACTTTAAAGGCCTTTCATGGAAAAGTCATGCTGGTCCTTAAATACCTCATTTGGAAAGAGCCAAGCAAATTATTAGAAATGCAAGAAAGCTAAAATTACATTACTCTCTCTAAAAATGCAGAAAATACATTTGAAGAACCTCTGTGAAAGTCTGGTATTGGTAACAACTATCTGAAGTCATGGGTCTTATTTCTCTCTCCTGTTTTAATTTGTGAAGGTGGCAATTCCGATTGAAGATGTGAACCGCAGTCATTTAAGGTTTACATTCCGTCACAGATCATCACAGGACTGTGAGTACTTCAGTCTTGTTCCCCTGTTGCTTCTGTCAATTCCTGGTGCCTGAAGGGAGAGAGTGTTTCTGGCTATTAGTGTGGGGATGAGGTACTTCTACTATCACTACTATTTATTTATTTATTATCGTAGCACCTAGGAGCTCCATTGTACTAGGTGCTGTACAGCTTGTCTTTTTTCCCTCTGTTTCCTCTCCCTCTCTTGATAGCCTTCATGCCCTCTTCCTTCTTTCCTACACACCTTCTTCCTAATTCACCAAATAAGAGACCCAGTAAATAGATCAAATGCCAGCTTTGCCTTAAGCAAGAGGCCCATGGGTAGATAGGTAGGTAAGTAGGAGGTGAGGAGCCTCCTGTTTCAGATGAGGAAAATGGAGACAGGGAACTTGACTTGGTTGGCAGTTTAGACCTGGGTTTTAATCCTGGTTCTGATACTGACCTACTGTTTTGTTTTCAAATTAAGGTTTGGATATGCAAGCTATTTGCCTTCCTGCAACTCCCACTGATTTTCTTTTAAAATCTTTAGCAGTCGAGATACTCTGATTCATCCAGAATGATGCCTTGTGACTAAGCATTTTCCATATATTAGCAATTACTGTTCTAGTAATAGAAGGATTTACTTTGACTGTGATAGCATTCATTTGATATAGGTATTATATATGATTGTTTTGGATATGTCACACTCCATGCGGCATACCTTCCGGGGCACAAAACTCCTTGACAGACGAGCTTAGCTGGACCTGGTACCTCAGTCATGAGTGGGAGTTCCACAACCCCATTTTCGGTTTCATCTGCCATGCTTGGGGTACCCCTCGCTGAGGACCTTTTCACCACTTATGAAAACTGTAAGTTACTCCACTACTGTTCAAAGGGAGCCAGGGGCCGCAATTCCCAGGCCAATGCTTGTCCCATGGCAAGGTGGTCTCTGATATGCCTTTCCCTCCATCCCCCTTCTCCTCCAAATTCTGTGCAAGATCTGCCATGACCGAGCCATGGTGGTCCTAGTATCTACTCAGACTCTCAGCCCCCGCCCCCAATCTGTCACCCTGATCTGCCAGACATTCTCACGCAGGACCAGGGCAGAGTCCGACATTGCAGCCCAGGCCTGCTTCGACTGACGGCCTCGTTTTTGGATGGGGATCGCATATAGACCATGCCTGCTTGACACCAGTGCGACACATACTTATGCACAGCAGATGAGATTCCACACGGGTTTGCTACGCAGCGAAGTGGAAGTTTTTCACGTCCTGGGTGCAACGTCACTGTCTCCCCCTCAAAGACCTATCTGTCCCCTTTATTCTGGACTACCTCTTAGAACTTAAGACCTTGGGCTTTGGCTTTAACTCTGTCTGGGACCACCTGGCAGCTCTTAGTGCCTTCCTCCCACCATTGGTCAGATACTTGTTGACGAATAGCTTCCTACCAGTCCTTAAACCTACCCCTCCCTGGGACCCCAATCTTGTGCTCTCTGCCCTCACCAGACCTCCCTTCGTGCCCCTGGCCATGTGCTCCCCCTCCTACTTACCCATGAAGGTCATCTTCTCGTGCCCATCACTTCTGCCAGGCAGGTCAGAGACTTGGCAGACATGATGGCTCCCCCCCCCCCCCATATATGGTCTTTCATGAGGACAAAGCCTCATTACACCTTCACCCTAAGTTTCTCTCGAAAGTAGTCTCTGAGTTCCGCCTCACCCAGTCTATCCATCTTCTGGTCTTCCATCCTAAACTGCATGCCACTCCCACACACAGGATGCTGCACTCCTTGGTCGTCTGCTGTGCACTCGCGTTCTACCTAGACAGAACCTGTGCCTTCCGTGCTTCTCCACACCGTCTCATAGCCACTGCAGAGCGGTTGAGGAGCCTGGCCCTCTCCTCACAGCCTTATATCCAAGTGGGTCTCTACCTGCATCACAGAGTGCTATGCGTAGTCCAATGCCACAGCGCCCGGCAGAATTATGGCCCACTCCATGAGGGCGTAAGCAACTATCTCTGCCCCCCTGGTGGACGTCCACTAGCACAATATCTGCTGAGTGGCAACCTGGCCGCTCTCTACATACCTTCACCGCCTGCTATGCCATCGGCCAAGGGGCAGCCGAAGACGTGACTGTGGGCCATGCCATCCTGCAGGCGGTGATAACTCTTGCATCCTGGCACCCACCTCCAAGCTGATCACTGCTTGATACGCAAATGTGTTTGGAATACATTTAGAGACCTTCACTCAAAGAAGAAGAGGTTACTTATCTGTAACTAGAGGTTCTTTGAGATGTGTGGTCTCTATTTGTATTCCAATACCCATCCATCATCTCCTGTGCTGCGCACAGCTCTATTCAGCAGTAAGAGGGTGACCGATGGTGCGTCGGCTTGCATGGCCTCTTATAACCTCTTCTGGAACACAAGGCAACATATGACTCATATGTGGGTCAATGGATGCTGCTGAAAACTTCCGGCTTCGGCGCATGGTGCACATGCACAGCTGCCTTGGGAATACAAATAGGGACCATGCATCTCAAAGAACCTCCAGTTGCAGGTAAGCATCTCCTCATCTCTACTGCAGTGTAATTATGTGTCGGGCTTTCATTAAGGATGCTTATGTGTGGGCTGCTTTGGGGCAAGGACCGTCTTTTTGTTCTGTGTTGGCATAGTGACTAGCATAATGGGTCCTGAGCCATAAGTAGGGCTCCTAGGTGCAACGGTAATACAAATAATAAGTTGTAGTACTAAAATAGCTGACAACATATCATCATTCCAGGTATAAGAGATACCGACTTGTTGCTCTGTCAAATAGTAATTTGGGATTTGTATAAAAATGTAGGTCAAGATTTTAAAACATTGGTGCTTCAATTTAGGCTTTTAAATCCATAAGCAGCCTGACTTTCAGAAGTACTGAGCGCCCAGCAGCTCCCAAAGAGGTCAGTTTTAGGCACCTGTGTTTGAAAAATCTTTATTTTACTATCTAGCTTGTCTTATGTATAGAGGACTGCATCCTTATTAAATTTCTTAGCCCTTTTCCTGCATATGGGAACCCTTATCACTGTCAGACCATTTCTAAATGATCTTTCCTTGAGATATTGGAGGAGTGTCTCTGTCAATATCAATTACTTAAACTACGCTGTGTGTCTTATTTTTTTTAACAGCCAAAGATAAATCAGAGAAAATATTTGCTTTAGCATTTGTGAAGCTGATGAGATATGATGGAACAACTTTAAGGGATGGAGAGCATGATCTTATAGTGTACAAGGTATAATTTTAAAGATATTTGCTTCAGTCCTTGCACAGATTTGTTTACTGTGAAAGCTTCACTTTATGGAATCTATTACACATTGGTCTAGTTGTAAGTACATGCAAAATACTATATTAAAAGAACATTGTTCGCAGAGTCAAGCAGTGGAAACGTAAACGGGATGGGAGGTAATGGAGGTGCATTTCTGTATGGCTCTTTCAGAATGACACCCAGAGGGCTCAGCAGGACCCAGCAGCATGTACTGTACAATTGGGATATTCGGAAAATTGAGGGACAGGTCTTGAACAAGTTGTAATGTGCATGTGGAAATGTTGATTTTGTAGGGTTTGTAACTTGGCTGCAGATGGATGGATTTTCATGGGGGAGCAAAAAAAGCATGCCTTTGGCCATGTGAAATTTCACATTCCTGCTCCAAACCATGTAGGTGCTAGAGCTGTTCAGGCCTTTTTAAAAAAACGAAGAAACAGACTTTAACCTGAAATTTCTCTAAAACCGGAACAAACATAAAGTACATCGACCGTAAATAGTTACATAGAGATTTAGGATAAATATCTTTATTCCTGTTTGAGAATATACTATATAACTTTGTTCTTTATTATTTTAATTATTTTTCATGTAATTTTTTTATTAAAAAAACATCTTGCAGGCAGAAGCAAAGAAGTTGGAGGATGCCTCAACGTATTTAAGCTTGCCATCCACTAAAATAGAATTGGAAGAAAAAGGGCACGCCACAACTGGGAAGAGCATGCAAAACCTTGGAAGTTGCACCATCAGCAAAGATTCTTTCCAGATTTCTACTCTTGTTTGTTCAACAAAACTCACTCAGAATGGTGAGTTGTTAGAAGAAATGTCTCTCCACCCCACGTGTCCCTTTAACTTCCCCCCATTTATCAGCGGGGAAGGAATGTAGTATTATTTTCTTTTATTTTAGGGGATTTTATACTGCTTGTGAAGGGTTTTGATTGGCAGCCATGGCAAATGAAGTCCTGTCTAGACACAGCACAAGTACAATATGAGAATTGACAGTGTAGCATCCAAACCTTGCTCAGTCTATATACTTTAGTTCAGCTCTGCCTAGGGATCAGAAAATATTTCCATGCCCATTTAAGCCAAGGTCCTTCTGGGTGTAAAACAGGGCACCATAGGCTTTATCTAAAACTTTAGTTTCTAGCATGGGTGCAAACAGATGTGTGGAAGAGGATGATGGAACACATTCCTAGTATCCCTTCAAAGTGCCTCTGTGTATAGAAGAGCTGGTAAAGAGGGTGGTGGAATGGCTATGGTCCCCAGTGGGCTGCCTTACATGATTTTCATTGTGTGTGCAGGGTTCTCCAAGTGACAAGTTCCACTTTCTTTTTATGACTGGCACAGAGACCAGAGCAGGGATGGATAGAAGGGTCTGGGAGGGAGGAGGAAGTTGCCAAGCCTCACCCTCTCTATAGAATGTGCCCCATGGCTGGAGTTTAAGGATTGGGCATAGAGTGGCAGGGATGTGATTAGCATCATAGTATCTCCTCTAAACCCTTCAGCCTCAGACCTGCTTTTCATGCTCCTTTGGCATAGTCACTGATACAGCTCACAGGTCGTTGAAGCAACTGATCCTCTTCTCCAGCCAGCTCTTTTGTTTTCACTCTGTTTCTATGGATTGATCAGCCTCCTTCCTTGCTTCTAGATTAGTGGATAGGATTCAGGATATGGGGTAGGGGAGGTCATCTGGGAGTGATGGAGTCATCTTGGGAAAGGAGATAGTCATTATAGGAGTCACCAGGGGGAGAGAGATCAGGGAGTACTTGGAGGCTGGCTATTTTAGTGATGTTTGATGGAACTCCAGACTTTGGAGGCCAGAAGGAACCTAGCCTAGAGGGGTCTAACCTAATGAACACAAGTCCTCTGCAGTATGTAATTTCTCTGTCCTCTCTTTCAAAAATGTGGTTGGATCTGTGCCTTTAAGATAGCTTAACTTAATTGACAGTTCATACACATAGTATTTTGGAATACTTCAATATCGAATTGACACAGGTTAATTAAAACTTTCAATGGATTTAATACCATGAATGACTGTGTTGCTCTGTACTCCTCTTTCACTAGTATTTTACATAAGTGCTTATAAATACACATACTGTGTAAAGTGTACAATACTGAGTGATGTGTTACTGCCAGCAACCATTAAGATTGTCCTGTAAATATATTCTTTATTCAGTTCCTATCCAAGTAGAAAAATCACAGGTCTGATATGACTTCGTAGTCACCTCACAATTATACTGCAGTACTTTGTGACATCTCTGAAACACATTCCTGTTGTTTTATATTCAAAGCACATAAGATTCACTGCAGTCAACCAATATTATGGCATAAGGAGATACTTAGCAATAATTCTGAAATAATTTTTGAATTGCAACCCAAATATATGATAACATCCCAATGATAAAACAGTAATTTTATAGTTTCATAAAATGTAGCCGACAGAATCCAATATAGAGGGTTGCACTGCTGGAAACATTATTTTAGTTTGTGATTAATAATGTTTATTGTTACAGTTTTTCTTATGTGTTTACTAATTAATGTTAGTAGTATTCAGAAGTTTGGTCAATGAGTTAATGGGACTTTGATCGAGTAAATATAGTGAATACTAACACTGAGAAAACAGTAATAAATCCTTAATAGATAACTTACATGTGCTTTATACTTTGGTTAATGCTGTAATTCCTTATTTTATGTTGCTGATAATTATGTTCTTGTAACTTTTAGTCAAAAACAAGACCTGTGTAATGTTGTGACAGTGTCAATAAGTTCCTTGTATATTCATTCATAGACATGTTAGAAAGAAAAAATATAACATCATCAAGAAATAACATATTCTATTAATTCTTCTATTAATTGAAAAATGGGAGTTCTTTTTTTTAAAGGGATGCAATCAACTTAGAAATGACACTTCTGTCTGAAATAGTTTTAACTATTGTTAAAATAATGGCTATGATTTTTCTAATTTTCCTATTATAATAAATATTTTTCTAAATCTCTTCAATTTGCTTACTTCGTACATTTGACTCTCCTTTGTGTGCAGTCAGTTTAACTATTTCCCTCGTAGGTAAAAGCTGCACAAACAGCAATTGGAATAGAAAACCATTTAAAAAAATAGATAATATAATTGCAAAATCACAACAGTTGGCTGGGGTTTCAGGGATACATTTAGTTCCTGACACTACTTTTAACTTTTTTTTTTTTAATACATTTTAACTCTCCGGTGTCCCTTTAACATCCTATGAGCAGGAAAATCCATGGCAGTGGTTCTTTTAGCGAATTAGACAATAATGTTGATTTTAAAGATTAATTTCCTCCTTTTTTGATGTTCTGTACTCCTTTTGTTAGCCATTCTACAGCATGTTAAAGATGGATTTATGGCTCTTTTAGTAGTTTTGAAATTCAGCTTTTCTACCTCCCATATTTTAGTTAATCATGATATGTCTGGTTTTGTTTTTGCGTTGCATTCGACATTGCATATTGGTGTATTCCGATACACAGGTTTGACAACATGCTCTTTTTGAATTCCATTCCTTCAGCGACAGTGCCTCTCCGATGTTGTTTGTTTATCAATTCTTGAATGTGTGTCCTTAACATCTGATCATTATCTCTAAGTAGCAAATGTTGGGCACTGAAATCATGAATTTTGTTCGTTTCTCTAAGCAGACATTATCTGTTTTTTCATAGTTAATATTTGAATAGGCATGAGAGACCAGTGCAATAGCAGGATATTGAAACCTGGTCTGATGGAGTCTCTTTCCTTCTCTTGCCAAGACACACTCAGCCGTTGTGTGCAGTTGTCTCTGAGATTTCTAACACTGTTGGTCTCTCGTCCCCTTCAACTTAATCTGGTGTAGACAGCTGACAAGCTTATGATGCGGACACATGTCTAGGATGCTAAAACAGGATCCTCCCTTGGGGAGGAGACCCATCCTCCTTTATGTCAATCTAATTATTTCAAGATAAGAATCAGTAAAGATAAGACATTGAGGCCAGATTGTTGTCCAGCATTTAGCTGGAGAATCTATCCCCTATTCCTGACAAGTCTAAAAAAGAACTTGGAATTAAGAGAGACATCCGGGGTTAAAGTGACCAGTTTTCTTCTGTTTTGTATTTCCTGGAAAAGAGGTCCAGAATGCTTGATTGTCCTCCCTCCTTTGAGGGAGTTCATTGGATGCTGAACCTTCTTGAATCTGAAGAAGGAAGTGAGATGGAAGATAGCTTATAAGCAAGCTCTTACTTAATCAGATAAAACATGTCTATTTCTGAAAAAAATATTAATTCAGTGGCTAAAGTAAGTCCCCTAAAACCCCATTCTTGATTTTTTTTTTTTTTTTTGCGAGATTATATTTTATTGCCAGTTGAATTAGTAATACTTTTCACTTACATTTCCCAAAGTAGGACAGTAGTATCTCCTAATATGGGGCAGTCTCTTTTAGCTTGCACTTCCCAGATGAAAGGTTCCCCCCGCCCCGCCCATCACTTGAATCTGTTTCAGCCAAACCAGTGTCTCTTTCCCCTTCAATTTATAAATGTATCTCTTTACGTAGTGTTATGGCATTCACTTTAGAGAAGGTAATAGCCTTGAAACATTTGTTGATGCTCAAAAATTATGCTATTCCATGTGTTGCTATTGGTTATTTAAGTATTTTGTAAACAAAACTCTATCTAGTAAGAGCTTGACCTTTTCCTTTGGAGGAATACTACTCAGAGGTACCATTTTTTAAATAGTAAATTGCCATACTGTAGTATGGTTTAATGAACTGATGCATTTATTATGTACATTAGTTAGTTATGTACTTTATTTTTTTTCCATGGGATATCTAATGTATACATCTGCTGCATTCGTAAAATACATTGCTAGATCACCTCTTCAGCTGTTAGCTTTAAAAAATAGTTTCTGCGGTTTTTTTAATTTTAAATGCCACAGAAGAATGCACCCTCTGTAGCTTCAAAGGCATGAGATCTGGACTGGTTGGAGGCGTAAGGGTATACCTCCTTTAAGGGTTTCCCTTTCTCTTGGGATTGAGAGAGGGATGGGGCTGTGGTGGAATGTGGGAAGCATCATGTAAATTGATGGGCTGGCTAGCAGGGTTAAGCTAAGCCTCCGACCCTTGTTTACCCTGGGGAGAGTATAGGAGCCCTACTCATTGCTGGGTTAGAATAGCATCGAGTTGTTTTTTTGTCTGCTGTGGGCATTGCGCTTGTCACCTTTATTGAGACTGGGAAGGAATTTTGTCTTCACTGCTAGATTGGCCCGTGCAGGAAGGGCTTTCGCCTTACCCATTGCAGCTCAGAGACCTGATGGAGTGGGTCAGAAGGTTCGGTTCAGGTTGTTGAGCTTTAGTAGGTGACAGGTGTATAGTGCCATGATAAACTGGAGTTGAAAGTGGACTGAGGGGAAGGCATCCCATAAAGAAACTGGGAAATGGGGTTGGGAATCTTACTGTGAGGCACAACAAGGAGACTAACCTCCTTCCCCAGCTCCTTAACCCTTGTTCCAGGCTAGTACAGTGAGGCCCCAGCAATGAGCTGAAAACCCGAAGGGAACCCTTGAACTCGTGGAAATGATTGTGGAAGAAAACCTGACCTGAACTGTATGAGTTATTGTCTGATAGCTCCCAGATGAAACAAAGTGTTGAGAAACCAGCACTTTCTCAGCCTCCTTTCTAAAAGTACCTTTAGCAAATGTAATCCACTTTTTTGAAAATAGCAGTGCTTTCATAATAAAAATCATAGTCTGCATGCTATAGCACAAAGGTATCCTTATCATAATTACTATTGATTTTGAATTTCTTAAGTTTCCATGGATGACATTCTCAGAGTAAATGCACTTGAAGGTAGGAATATTGTGGTACTAGATTTCAGCAATGCAGATATACAGTAGTGAAATATGTAAACAGCCAATAAAAATGACTAACTTGGAAGTGAAGTTTTTATTTATTATGAATATAGCCAGGGTATGTGAATGAGAGCATAACTCCTGCAGCACATAATAATTTAATGTTTTTCTCACTTCTAGTGGATCTCTTGGGGCTTTTGAAATGGCGATCTAACACAAACTTGCTGCAGCAGAATTTGAGACAGCTGATGAAAGTTGATGGTGGTGAAGTGGTTAAGGTAACAAACAAGTTAAATTTTTAAAATGAATTTGATATTTTAATTTTTGCGTCCCTCTATCTTAGGTATTTATATAGCCCCCATTAATGTAGTATATGAGTGTCTCGCAATCTTTAATGTATGTGTCCTCACAACACCCCTGTAAAGTAAGGAACTACTTTTAAATCCAGATGTGTAATGCACAGGTTTTAAAAATATAGATATTTTGAATACTGCAGTAAACTTGCTTTTATATGCACATTTAAATGCCAAAAGGGATTTTTATTTAAACAGTACAATAAAAACGTCTTGAAATTATTGCTGAGGGAGAGTGCCTCAATCATTGTGAGGTAATAAAATGCATAGCAAAAGTTCAATTCTCTAAATAAATATTAAGTGCATTTTATTATGTTTGAATGTGGAGTGCAAGTATTACATTTCAGCAAGTGGTGCTAATATTTTTTTTAATTATGGTTTCTGCTGAAGATGTAGCTGGGCCAAATAATTTACATTTGCCAAGGCCATAAGGGCATTGAGTGATTGTAGAGACCAACATAAAGACAGGTTTATTTGTGGAAAACAGTAGGCTTAGTCTTTATTGGATACATTGTATTAAATCGAATCCAATAATGTCAGCAGAAGTAATATATCAGGAGTAGATGAACCTAAAGGGCCTTTATGCTTCTATTAACCAAATTAAAATTCAAATAAAGTAAAAAAGCACTAATGAATGCTTCATCTTCAGGAAACTTCGCACAGCTGAGACCACAGCCATTGTTCTTTACTGAATAAGGAAAAAATAGCCTGTTACATAGGACTTCGCAGAGTGGCCTTGTTTATTACATTTTTGGCTTATATTACTTCATAGCCATAGCTCAGTGCTGATGCTCACTGCCAACTAATGTTATCATGGGTAATTTTCATTGTTTTTCAAATTACCTGGGAGAGTATACAGCAGGCAAATACTTGCATACTCAGTGATTACAAAAAAATAATAGAATGTGACACAACTGAAAGTTAAAACAATATTTAGGTGAACCTCCCTTCCCCCTCCCACCACACTGCTGTTCCCCCACCTCTCCGCACACACTTTTGTAGACAGTGCAGGTGAAATCTTAGCCTCACTGAAGTCCATCAAAAAGCTCCCATTATTAATAGGGACATGCGTCAATTAAATTTTTGCCCATGACTGAAGAGTTCTTATTTGAAGTCACTGGAAGTCCTCATTGCATGTGTCCAAAACTGCTCACACAAAATGAGTTCTACAAATGAAAGCAAATGTGTGTGATGCCCACATGTGCAAAAAACATCCAGTCATGGCACCTTTTCATCTCTCTGTTTTCTTTTTAATGGAGTTTAGCCATGCTATCAAACCATCATATGCTCGAGAAAACTATCACTCCCAGTGAAAAGTGAATGTTTGAATACATACCAGTGTGAACTGCCATGTTGTTTCCCTTAATTAAATGAATATGACTGCAAGACAGCCACTGTTCTACTAAAAATTAAAACATGAAGTCAAAAGCTGATTTCTGTCCCAAGCTGCGGGCCCATATGAAAATGATGTTGCAAGCTCTTCCTCTTCTATGCTGTTTACCTCCAGATTTTAGTAGCATCATATTGTGGTTACAGATTCCTGGGGATGGAAATTGGTGGCCAACAGAGGATTACAGTAGATACTAAATAAAAGTTAGCTTTTGATCATTAACAATGAGTCTCTTGTTGAGCATTGTTTAGTCTGCTGAACTGCACAAGAAGCTGCCTGAGTGTGATCTTACATATCTTCATTGTTGTGGCAGATCCAATCCCAAAAGAGTTTACTCTACTCCTCTGATTGATGGAAGATTTCCGCCCTCTCCCCCCAATAAAATCTCTTGACAAAACAAATAGCTTACTCCACCCCTAAACTGGAGTCTGGCTACAGGAGAAGATTGCCTACCTGTTTCAACGGAGACAAAAGGCATTTGCTGCATAAAGCTACATTTCCCCCCAAAATCTGAATCTGAGCGGTGATCCATTCACATGTTAATCTGCCTGGGAGGAGGAGTTGTTTTCTGTCCATCTAGTAACACAAATTGCCCAGACACAGACTTATTGGTTGGTAAAACTAAATGCATCGTGCAACCTGAAGAACTCCAACCCTATGTGCTATTAGCCTATGGTAGAAAGGAATATTACATTATATGGTTATAGAGCAATTTTTCCCATTGTGCTTAAATCAAGTCCCCTTTGCTAATCTGCTTTTACTTTCATGTTGTGCAGATCAGGGTGTCCTGCCAACTGTCTAGTGAAGATTCTTCCTCAGTTACAGTGATAGAGGCCTGTAGGTTTTATTGGGGGCGTGGGGGAGAGAAGAAGGTTGTGTGTGGTATTTCCCATGCCTGCATGTATGCTATTAGTTGACTGCTGTGGGATTGTGAGCCATAAATAGCTATGTTGTATTTTCTGTTAATGTCAAGATAATTTCAAAGCATCTGAGTACTACTTGATTTATTTAGCATGAGTCTGACTTGCTTGTTTGTGTTTTGTACTGTGATATATGATCGTGTCTCAAAAATTGCATGATTTTTTTAACAGTATGTTAAGATTGAATCCTGAAACTCTTGGTATATTCACTATAAAAAGTAAAGGTTTCTGTTCAAGTATTCTGTGTGTGTGTGTGTGGGGGGGGGGGCAGGTGGGTGTGTGGAGAGGGGAGTGGAGTGAGGGAGGGGTAGTAATGCATTTTCTGGCCAACTCTGATATATAAATACTAAATTTTATAAACGTTCACTGAAAAACAAAATGTGGAAAAAAATTCTTCTATTTTCCAACTAACTCTTTTATTTTTATATTCTTTATAATGTAAAAATAAAAATTAGTGTGTAGATCCATGTAAAATATCAATTTGGGAAATTTAATCTCAAATTTCCTGTAAAATATAGTGACTGAATATTTATCTGCAGTTCCTACAAGATACACTGGATGCACTTTTTAACATCATGATGGAGAATTCAGAGAGTGAGACGTTTGACACACTAGTGTTTGATGCTTTGGTAAGTTGACTTGTTTGTGCATAGGTGTTTGGCTAAAATTTAAATTTTATTGATTTATAGACTTAATTATGGTATTTTTCATAAATAATATTCATCCGATCACCTGCAAATCACACCTTTTGAAATTTGTTTTATTTGAAGTGTTTTTTTTAAACTCCCAGTAGGGCTTTAATTCAAAGGGGATGGAGGTTTCTGACACACTGCATCATAGTGATTGAGGGTTCTGACACACTGCATCATAGTGATTGAAGACAAGTGTAAGGGGGGCACTCTGCTGACAGTGTCAGGACCAGAAGAAATGGCGGAGCATATAGTGGACCAGCTGCTGTGCTGGGACACTGGTAAAAGTATAAGAGTGGTGGTGGGGCAGAGAGAGAACCATTCCTGTGTTAGGAACAGAAAGTTGGTAAAGTAAACAGAATACAGTAACTCCTCATTTAAAGTCGTCCCGGTTAACATTGTTTTGTTGTTATGTTACTGATCAATTAGGGAACATGCTCGTTTAAAGTTGCGCAATGCTCCCTTATAACATCATTTGGCATCCCCCTGCTTTGTCCACTGCTTGCAGAAAGCGCAGCCCTTTGCAGCTAGCTGGTGGGGGCTTGGAACCAGTGTGGACCTGCAGCCCCCCATCCGCTCCCCGTTTCCTTAAGTTCCCTGTGTGGCAGCCACCCAGCAGGCTATCAATTGCTGGCAGTTCAGCTGTCCCTCCCCCCACTGCCATGTGCTGCTCCTGTCCTCTGCCTTGGAGCTGCTCCAGTGAGTCTCCTGCTTGCTGTGCAGGGGGCGGGGGAGAGGACAGAAGGAGGGGGGCTAATATCAGGGTGCCCATTGCTCCTGCAACCCGCTCACCCCATTTCCATAGAGCAGGGGGGAGAGATGACAGGGTTCAGGACGGAGGGAGCTTGCAGGCAGCAGCTGCTGTCTCAACTTGCTGATCTAAAAAGGTAATGTTCTTAGAGTGGGGCAGCATACTTAAAGGAAAGAGGAGTACTTGTGACACCTAAGGGCACGTCTTCACTACCCGCCGGATTGTCGGGTAGCAATCGATCTATTGGGGATCGACTTATCGCGTCTAGTGCCGTCGACTCCGGAAATCCACCGCGGCAAGAGGCGGAAGCGGAGTCGACGGCGGAGCGGCAGCAGTTGACTCGCTGCCATACTCACAGCCAGGTAAGTCGACCTAAAATACGCAACTTCAGCTACGCTATTCACATAGCTGAAGTTGCGTATCTTAGGTCGACCCTCCCCCCCCCCCCTCCGTAGTGTAGACCTAGCCTTAGGGACTAACAAATTTATTTGGGCATAAGCTTTCGTTGGCTAAAACCCAATGCATGCAGTGGAAAATACAGTAGGAAGATATATGTGCACAGAGAACATGAAAAAATGGGTATTGCCATACCAACTGTAATGAGACTAATCAATTAAGGTGGGCTGTTATCAGCAGGAGAAATAAAACTTTTGTAGTGATAATCAGGATGGCCCATTTCCAGCAGTTGACAAGAAGGTGTGAGTAACAGAGGGGAAAAAATAGCATGGGGAAATAGTTTTACTTTGTGTAATGACCCATCCATTCCCACTCTTTTTTCAAGCCTAATTTAATGGTGTCCAGTTTGCAGATTAATTCCAATTCTGCAGTTTCTCGTTGGAGTCTGTTTTTGAATTTTTTTTGTTGGAGTATTAGGACCTAATCACATCAGCCACAACATCGGAGGCTCGTTCACCTGCACATCTACCAATGTGATATATGCCATCGTGTGCCAGCAATGCCCCTCTGCCATGTACATTGGCCAAACTGGACAGTCTCCACGCAAAAGAATAAATGGACACAAATCAGACGTCAAGAGTTATAACGTTCAAAAACCAATCGAAGAACACCTCAACCTCCTTGGTCACTCAGTTACAGACCTAAAAGTCGCAATTCTCCAACAAAAAAACTTGCACATATCTCTCTCTCTCTCTCTCTCTCTCTCACACACACACACACACACACACACACACACACACACACACACACACGTGGTGTGTCGTCTCTC